TGGTACCTAATGTTTAATCGAGTGCATTTTGGCCTCACTCAGAGACCCCCGTGGACCACACGCAGCAGGTGGTCCCCGGCAGACATCCATATTTGCATATGTTAGGTTACACCACGAATGCTCATGTGTTCAGATATTGGTACCTCGTTCGTTTGATCAAAATGTTCTGGGCTGCCGCTCTAATACTCGGACATAGAATTGACGGACGAATCGTTTATATTCCATGCAATTCCCTCCAAACTTCTTTATAACTGATTGAGGTTTTTTTTAATTCCCTAATCACCGCCAGCAAGCCCTTCTCAGATTACCCACCACTCGTCAAGATGAACCATGATGAACATCACCATGGGGACCACCATAAGAGCACATACTACTCGCATCGCACACGCAAGGAATGCCCACGCCGCCACTATCACGCATAAGGTCTGATTCAACATGACTAGACTTTACAGCTGAATGCTTACCTAAATCAAAACCTACTAAATATGCTCTTTCTTTGTCAGCCGGATTTCTTACCCTCCTTTGGCTTGACAGGGCTTTCATACCTTTCATCATTTCATCACTAGATGCATTTAGTTTGTTGTTCATCCATCTTTAGATACTTGCTTCTGTGTAGTAAACACTGATTCAGATGTAATGTTAACAATATCAGTGATAAGACTAAATTATGTTCGTGAAGGATGTCGCTGTACCAAAATTTGTCAATGAATGTAGTTTCCGTATTATCAATGACTGACATGTTTATAAATGTTTATTTGTCGACAGTTGGATTTCATACTCGCCAATGCGTTCTTCATAAAACTCGGGAGACGTATATTTCAGTATATAAATGCCTTGACCTTTATTTATCGTATTACAATCAAGTAGTATATGTTGTACCATAACATCTCACTCGAGCCACAGTAAAATACATCAATCACAAGGTGATGATTCCGATAGAACGATTGACTGTAAATCGAATAGACAAAGTACAATAAATGTGTTTGTATACAAATACGGCACACAAGTTTACGTGAGTGCCACACTAGCTAAGTACCGTCTAAATACACAACAAATGGTGGCATAAATTACAGGCTCAAACAAAGCAAAAAACATTGACAATATTTCATCACAAACTGCAAAAGCAGGCAGAAACATGCCTCGCTATAAATCAGATGAGATAAACAATGTCATAGAAAGCACGGTATGAACAATTGTATCACCACTAAATAAAATATTTCTGACGACTTGAATGATTAGCATCACCCGCACACATAACAAACAAGCTCAAAAGGGAACTAAACTTAGCTAAGTCATAAAGTCGTTCTTACCGGAATTTATAGATCAACCCAGCGCATCGACCACCACAATGAAGTAAATAATGGTGATATATCTAAGTTACTGGCTCAAAACGCTGGCATGTCACAGAAACCACGCCGACTCCAGAACTTTCTATCTGTTTGTTACTTCCGGTTTCTCAACTCAAATAATGACATCACAACCCGTCTAAAGATCAAAATCAGATCTAAATGTCGTAAATGACACCCCGGTTTAGTACCGTTTTGTGAGTTGTTGGGACCAAATTTCCTTCATGTAGGTTTGTGATATAGCGCCCTCTAGGCAAAATAAATTTCAAACGTTTGGAACTCCAAGAAATATATTCAACTGTACCGTACGTCTAGGCTGTATGCGCGGGATTGGGGTATCGGCTGGTATCTACTGTAAGAAATAGATTAGGGGTGAAGGCGAACAGCGATCTCACATTTATAAACCGGAAATAAACAGACGAAACGACAGTCAAATTTAATTTATACAAAATGTCAGCTTTTTCCAAAATGATAAGATGAACGCAAAAAATAGGTAATGTTTCACATTCCGTGTCTTAATTTCTTATGTGAACACCTCAACCTTCCCATCCCAGCGAACCTACTCGTGCATCTCCAAGGCTAATCTGTATCCCATTATATAGAAATTCATAATCTAAGGGAATCCCCTCTCGAAATTTTTGTATTTGGAATGGGTTATATTTTGCATATTTCTGTACGCCTTTACAGGCGTTTTTAAAACCTTTATTGAGCATGGTACCCATGCTTTCGGGCTAGTGTAGCATAGATAAACGCAAAATTACGTCGCAGCGTGTCTTTTATCGTTCTAACTTCAGAAAAACGCGATAAATCCCGGTACACACGCATTACATATTACTGCGTCGTTGAAATGGTCAGGGTTAAAGATCAAGGAGCAAACAATGATACTTCAATCAGCGAAGTCAAGTTAAGTAATCACAATTCCGAAAGGCGTGTTTAGCTTGGTGCGCACTACCTGAAAAGTTCACCGAACCATACAGCGCCCCCACACCTATTAGTTAGCAAACAAACAATTTGGATGTCATTTATATACCGGTCGACGTGTACACATACCATACAGACATATCTTCAGTATAATTCTAATTAGCTATATTCGTATTCACTGTATAAAGAAAAAAAATCTATTCCAAGGCATGGCAATGTGTATAACATACACTGTATTCAATTGGCAATGATGTTATGATTCTGACTGGAAATGGCAATAAATGTTGTGTTTATTCGTGAGGTTTTCGCCTAATTACAATTACATTGTTCTACACATCAACACATTTATCACTACTTTATTTGAAGCGGGCGGGAGGGTCGTCACCTGCGCACGCGCGGGAATTGAGTCTCAAGCGACGATAACAACACACGCTAAAAACGCAAAGGCTATGGTCATCTGCCGCATACGCAGGTGACGACTCCCCCGCTTTAACGCCGTTTTAGCAAATCCGTCGAAATGTAGGTATATATTCTTATATGTATGGTGTCATACATTAATCTACTTGTGGGTTAAAGGGGATTAGTTTTGTCAAATTGTGGTCACATTTAGAAATATACTCTTATTTTGAGTTCCCAATACTAAACATAATATTCACCAATCGTTTGTTTTGTCGACAGTATTAAGTATCATAGTTTTTTGTGGACTTTCCAGCCACTATTTTTAGATTTCTGAGAATTAGTGACTTCATTTATTCTACTAACTGAAATGGGGTCGCATATGAATACATTCACCAACATGTTGCGACAGTATTAGGGTTATTTCATTGTTTCTTCATGGAATTTCCAACCATTAGTTTTAGAGAAGTGTTGACTCCTAAACGTTCAAGCTAACTACTGAAAAAGGGGGTCACTTGTGAATGCATTTATTAACATGTTGTTTTGCCACCAGTGTTATTTCATTGATAGTCCGTTCGTTCGGACGTAGTCGGAAAACGGGGATTTATGGATTGACATCTGTGCGCTCGTGCGCCCGTGAGCTCGTGCATGCGTACATCCGAACCTACTAGTATACCAATTGCATTCAAACTTCACACATAATGTTATACATATCAATTAGTTTCCCGATCTGGTTTAAGATGGCCAAATGGCGGTTAATTATGTGCTGAAAAATCAGCAAAGTCAAGCATTTATGGCATTCCGAAACCGGGTGTCGTTTGTTATAGACGGATTGTGTTCAAACGTGGTACATATTGGGCATTAAGACACCTTGATGCACGTCATTTTGTTTTTTAGCTCGTACTTAAAATATCCGACTGGCGGACGTTTTGTTTTAATCAACGCGGTTCTAAAGTTCTGATTATGTTTCATATATTCATTATACATCATGTCATAGATATACAGGTTTATTGGTTTGACAATCTGATTCGCAATGGCCATATGACAGCCTTTTTTGTGCTGAAAAATCATCGAGCACAAGCAATTCTGGCATTTCGGAATCAGATCTCAGATGTTTACAGACGGATTTTGTTCGAACTTGCTACATACCTAGGACTTTATGATGCACGTCATTTTGTTTTTAAGATCGCATTCAAAATGGTCAGCCATTTAGTTTTAATGAATGTACTTCTAGAGATTTCTGACATGCTCTGACGGACTAAGTTAAAACGTGATGTAAATCCATTATACATCGAGGTATAGATATACAAATGTATGCAAAATGGCCGACCGGTGGCCATTTTGTTTTAATCAATGCTGTTCCAGAGCAATATCTCTCAATATGTGCAAGTACTCGTCTTACGATCAGATACAAGATGACTGAATGCCAATTATTTTAATGTTAACAAAATCATCATAATCATCAGCTTTTGGGTCCATATTTCTGACATGTTTATGTTCAAACTATATTTACTACAAACAAAACAATATATCGTTTGATAAGTAACTAACGGGGTCTGTGCCATGCATGGTTTGTTCCTTTATGGAATTTCTAGCCACTATTTTTAGAGTAGCGACGACTCTAAAACGTCAACTAACTACTAAGAAAAAGGTCACTTATGAATACATTCATCATTATAGCTATTTCCTTGTATATTTGTGGTCTTTCCAGCCACTATTTTTAGATTTCGGAGAAGTGGTGACTGTAAAATATTCAATCTACTAACTGAAAGGGGGTCGCCTATGAATACATTCACCACAATGTTGTTATTTTATTGCTCCTTTGTGGAATTTCCAGTCTAGGACTCAAATAGAGTTACCTAATTCGCAGTGTTAGGTCATTACTGTACGGCCTGCGGGCCTCGACATTTACTAGGATCTCATCTCTAATCAGGCCGTTAACTACTGCTAGCGTCCTTGTAGATGCTGTAACATCATATTATTAGCTAGATACAATGTATGGTTATCACAAACCTACTTCCTGTGGTTGGGGACAAACCATTATCTCATTAATTTAATCAACCTGTCAATTTTACTAACAATAACTGTAGATGCCACTGGCAATGTTTGACAATATACATTTTTGCATGACGTCTGGAGCACAATACCATTGGCTATTAACCAAACCAGATCATTGTGACTATGGTGCTAAATCTAATATACATAAAGTGACAATTTTTGGTATTATTAAATATATCGCATTTTTTAATTACAAAATAATTAAGAATATTTTACATGAGTGATCAGGATTTCATGCAATAAAATGAGAAGGATGACGTCACAAAAGGAGCTCTGCGTCGTTATGAGTCAATACCTCTGGTATATATGGTGTGATGTTGTCCCAGCAGCATGCTAATTACATATTACGTTTAAATTATGGAGAATCCAGGCGCAATTAGATCGTGTCCTACTTGTAGAGGAAAACAAGTTTGAGCCTTTTCTGTCTGGTCCTCTAACCTAAATGTATCAATAGCCCATATGGGACAACAGCAGACCTGTCAGTGGTGGACCATTCTAATTCGGAATTCGAAATATGCTCATCAATCTTATGTGTGGCACTGATTGTATGATGGTTGACACTGTATGATCCAGGTCGAAGCCAAACCTGTAAAGCAACTTGTGCGTCATACCAAGTGGCATATTTGTAGTCATACCATCTGTAAACAAAAAAAATACTGTTTTGAATATGTGTCTATTTAAATATAAGTCTTGTAAACGAATAATTACGCTGAATAATCTGTGAACAGCATTGATATATAAATATAAAACCTTAGATGTTTTTGTTGGAATAATTTGAGATTAGGGGTTGTACGTAAAACCATATTTACCTATTTGTTAGAAAATGTATTGTGTGAAAATCGATAAAAATTTACATATAATGCTTGGCCAAGTAAATACATCTTTATTTATTTTTGTGTATGAAAATAAGTAAACCGCCGCGTTTAAAGGAAACTTGTAAACGGGAAAATACGTGCCTACTGCAGGCTCTTTTTACTGCTCAGTAATAATCACATTACCTCGGATTCATCATTGAAATCTACATATGTTAATAGTCATTTCAGTTTCGTTGTACGTATTGATTTAGTTGAAAGCAAATGGAAGAGCGTACAATATATCATAATGCATGCACATTTTCTGTAGTTCAGCGTTGTGTATCTCCAAATGTAATTTTCCTTTTGTTATCGAGTAATTACAATATGATGTTTGTGATATTATTGTAACACGCGTTTGCATTACGATTTCACTGTAATCATATTTAATTTACAGAAAATGAACGGTAAGTGAAATATTGTTGTGCCTATCACAAGCCACACTTACTTATGAATATATGAATAAATTGGGTTCCCGGAATAATTAATACTAGGAGAGAGGAATATTTGTTTTGTATTAAAACCTGGAGGTTTGTGGTAGTCATTGAAATGTCCCCATTTTTCTTTAATAATGTAACCGCTTCGAGTCTTGTCCCCTGCAAATAAATGGTTAGGAACTTATTTAGTACGGTAATGTACAAAATGCGATTGTAGATCTGCAGGGATGTACAAAAGTGTTTTCAAATTAGTAAGTGATGAAAGTGAATGTTAATTTAAGCCATTGTAGTATTTACGTAATTGTCTGAAGATGATCGCATTTACTTTCATCTGCGAATGTTTTAATTATAAACTATGCAAAGTACGAGTAAGTATATACTTTTGTAGGTATATGTTGAAGCCCTGCTGCGTCTAAATAATAATTGAAACTACGCTTCATCCGTCTTTCGAGCATATAGCTTATTTTTCCGACAAGAAATCTACGGAAATCGACACGAACATTATCTTTTACCATACAAATATAGGGCGTAAATAAGCACATTACGACCACCGGGTATTAAATGTTCAAAAAGAACCCTGAGAAAAATATTTATAATTAATTAAACGAGACCAAAAAATGATTGCCGTCTGCAGTTGCTCGCTTGTGAGCCCGGTTTGTTGGCCCCGAACGCGATCGAACATTCGGCGCTAATCGGCGTTTGCAGGTTTTATTTAAATTCTGTCGAACAACTTTTTTGCAAACAAGGAACTACACGATATACGGGTGCGTATTTGCGTCACCACTTGATGTATCTGTTTTTGGTGCCTTAAAGTTATTTTTGTGTCTCAGAATTACCATCAAACACCGTGATAAAGACTTTAACATTGTGAAATTCTGCCGTAACGGTTTTTATTTAGCAAAATACAGTATGTTTAAAACCATAATCATTAAGTTATTGTTCATACAGTTCATTCCGCTGATTTCAAATATAGAGAACATGATTATGTTTTGTCTTTAATATTTTTTTTTACTAAAATATTTTTTATTTTGTTCTCATTTGTGCTTGTTCTTTACGATATTGGAAATTATTAATTTATTCTGTTTTGAGTGTATACTCACCTGGCAAAAGTAAACCATCATTCAATATGTCCTCCAAACAGTCCGTTTCAGTGCCGTGAAATACAACATGATATGAGCTCTTAACCACACTAACGCTTGAATTAATAAATCGAAAAGAAATATAATTTGAAGAGTAAACATTCAATGATTTTTTTTTTCCAAACGATAACACCAGTCAATGTTGTGTATACCTACTTTAAGGGAAAACGAGCCCAACCCAAAGGTAATACGTAATCTTTCGCCGGGTCACCTCTTTTGTAGACTGCCTTGTCACCTCGTATTTTATGACAACTTTTGCAATAACACATTCTGTATTGATTATCATCTCTAAAAGCAGAAGCTGTTTGAAAGAAGTAAGTGAAATAATATTGTAAGATGACAATTATATATTTTTTGAAACGAGGGAATTTGATCAGCATTGCGGTTAATGGACTACTACTCTATTTAATGTATGTTTTACTGTTTCAAGTCCAGGCCTAAATGTAACTGAACTTATTTCTAGGGTCTGTGTTGGTGACTATATGAACAATGATAATAACATCTTATTAGTCCCAGTTCACACATACACCATACATACTATTATACATATGCACATAATTTGTTTCACGGTCCGATTCTAGAAGGCCGAATAGCGGCGATTTTTGTGCTAAAACAATCATCAAAATCAAGCATTTGTGGCATTGCGAAACCGGATCTCGGCTGTTTACAGATGGAACTGGTTACATTTATTGAACATTATGGTTGATGCATGTCATTTTGTTTTTCAGATCGGATTTAAAATGGCAGAGAGGCAGCCATTTTGTTTTAATGAATGTGGCATATATCCGGCATGCTTTTACTGATTATGTTCAAATTTTATATATTCATTATACATCATGTCATAGATATACAGATATATTGGTTTCACGCTCCAATTCACAATGGCCGAATTGTGTATATTTGTGTGCTAACAAACCATCAAAGTCCAGTATTTCTGGCATCCCGGACTAGATCTTGGTCTTTAATGCACCGATATGGTACATATATTGGGTATTATGGGACCTTGTTGCACGTTAATTTATTTTTCAGATCGGATCTGAAATAGGCGACTTGCAGCCATTTTGTTTTTATGAATGCTGTTCCGGAGCAATATCTGACATGCTTAAACTTATCATGTTCAAACTTTATATGTACATCATGTTGTACATATGCACATGTATTAGTCTGACATGTATCAGTATCAAGATGGCCAAATAGCGGCTGGTTTTTATTTTTTTTAAATCGTCAAATCTTTTCTTCCATTAAATTTAACAATGAATGCGATTTTTTCGCCATGTCCCTGACATTTTTTGGCTGATTGCAATTACGTTTTAGAGCGACATTGTACTACATTTGACACTTATTAATTACTATGCATTTTTTCAAGTTGATTCAAAATGGCCGACCAGTGTCCATTTCATCTTAATTAATGCTGTTCTAGAGCAATATTTCTCAATATGGACAAGTACTCCTTTGACAATCAGATACAAGATGACTGAATGCCAATTATTTAAATGTTAACAAATCATCATCTTTTGGATCCATATATCTCTGACATGTTTTTTCTTTGATAACTAACCTGGACTGTGCCATGCATGGTATGTTCTACATGACAGTACTTTGCATAAACAAACAATACTGTCACTATTTAAACTAATAAAAAACTCCCACAAACATTCAAGGGAAAACACCCACCACTTTTAAGGTCTAGATGCAGGTTCGTTGGCACTCGGAATGATTTTTTGCTCGTTCTTACCCAGACAGTTTTGGTTAGATAGAGTTAACATTTCAGAGCTTTGTCAATAGTGGAACATACTAAAAACACGATTTTAAAATATAAGGATTCGAGACACAAGTATGTGATTAACAGTCACGATTTTACTAACGTTGTTCTTTGATTAACAATCACTGTTGATATATGCAAACGAGTTGCTGTCCTCCGTACGGTACGGCGTCGTGTGACTTCGTGTTCTGTTCACTTACCTCAAGTACATTCAACTAGCCTGGCGAGTAACAAAAAACAGACAAGACGTAGACGCTTCCAGCATGCCAAGCGGAATAAAAAACAAAACAAAAAACGTACAGTTGTAAATAATAAATAAACACTTTCACCATTATCTCGCAAACATGTCGACAACTATCCTGTCAGCGTAGTGGTACAATGTATAACGATTTAATTTTCGCGCAAAACAAGGTCACAATTTCTTTTGTTCTCTTGGTGTATAGATTTAAAGCTTTTTTCGCATTGCGGACGAAACTAAAACATGCTTTCACGCATTTTTTTCCTGAGGCATTTTAACAATTTTAGTTTCGCTGTAACGACCACCGTACTAATAGGATTGCGATGCAATGGACAAACACCACTGCTAATGTCGATAACAAACTTTTCAGTGTAAAAATAAACAGAGGTTAATTGACAATAAAAATAACACACAGGGAATTACAGCAAAATTGACAACGATATGCTGTTTTTAAACACAACGGAAAAATCGAGCACTCTGCGATGCCATCTTGGTCACCTTGTTCGGACACGCCCTTGTCACCTAGCATGCATCAGTCGCGATGTCACGAAGTACGTTGTACGGCCGTGTTGGTATCATAATCAATCAATCACCGTTCAATTTAAATACTTTGCAAGAACAAATGACATTTTTAAATATTTTTTTCTCAGGTGCGCCCTGTTCGAAGGCGTGCATCGCTTGGGTCAAAGGCGAGACTAACCTGTGGTCTTGTGTTCACTACTTAGCGGCTGTGAATCTGTAGGTTTATTCTGTGTGTATTTGGATGTTCATTTTTAAGCCATGTTTTCAACATTGTTTAACATTTTCATATGTCAATCTCCTCATATGTTAACAATGTCGTCTATGGAGTTTCAATTAGTGGTATGAGCCATTTTAGACGGCCTCTAGTACTAAGGCATTCTATGAATGAGGTATTTCCAGAGGTCAGGGTTCGTCTCATTTTTATCGGCCGAATGAAACGTGCCTCGATTTACAACAGTTTTCCTTGAAAAACGACTGCATTTCGAATTTGTCTCACCGGCGTTTGAGCAAGTGAATAGTAAAAACTGCGAATGCCCGTTGTGTAGCAAAATATTACGACCTATTTCAACCGGGTCGTCTAACTGAAACTTGAATAGTGCTGAACTTCACACAGTTCATTCCATCGAGATTCGCGAAAACTACGTCATGCAAAGTATTTGTTATAATGTTTGCGAAAAGGTAAATTTAGACTCAGCCTTAAACGCAAATCACATGTCTATCGGTATATTAATAACTGTATGTCTTTTTCTTTAGTTTTACGTAATCAATTGTTCACCATCCTCCATGGAATTGATAAAACGACGCCATGACAGTTTTCATGCAAGGGTGTGATTGGTTTCCCTCCAATTGTAAACCTTTTCATTTATTTTTTTTGTAACGATTGAACATCATTTATTATTTACGTACAGCCTTGCTTAGATTTGCTAAGCATTCGAGAAAACGTTTGTACCTATTTTCTACATTTCAGGATTATTTTGAGTATGTTCCATTATTCGCAGTTCACAATTCTCTAGCCAACAAGACTGTCTGGGTAATATAAAGCAAAATAAGTGCCCACAAACCTACATCTAAACCTTACAAACGAATCAGTATGTTTCAAAGCATGTAGAAAGCGTGAACAAACAACACTAATTATAACACTTCATGTTTTAATAGTCTTAGGTAGTCGTCAGATGAGGCACCCTAACTCGTGTTTCAAAAGGGTAGCACCCACAATGCGCAATTCGTACCATGTGCTTACAGTAATTGCATCATCGTCTGGAGTACTATTTTCGCTTTCAATAAGGGCTAAACCAACATCGTTCTAAACCCGGGTTTGAAATCAGCCATATCACGCCGAATAAGAACACCTAATCATACATACATTCTGGTATGGTCACACAGGCTACACACACATTATTAAATCAACATTAACACACTGTGCTTCTCCAAAACTTTAACGTGGATTTGTTGTCACAAAATGTATCTCATTTTATTGAAAACAACAAATTGTGTAATACTGCTTCATACGTATCGCGCCCAGTTTCACTATTTATTAGTCACTGAAAAGAAGGTTTTTGGAACAGTCGAGGTACAAAATGTGTGCACGGTTGAACGGTCAGGCAGATTGCAAGATATTGCAGCAATACTAGGTCCCCTCTAGCTGTGGGTCCATAGCTCTGCTTGTGTCGATCTGATGTTATAATAAACGTACTTGAAATTTGTATGGTATTGTCGACACAGTAGAGCTATGG